AGCAACGAAACCGCCGACCAGCAGGAAACTACCAGCGGCACCAGGAAAGTGTCCGACGACGGGAAGAAAACCGCCGACGACGCGAAGAAAACCTCCGGCGGCAGGATGAAAACCGCCGCCGGCAGGAAGAAAACCGCCGGCGGCAGGAGGAAAATAGCCGTCGGCAGGAAGAAAATCGCCGTCGGCTGGAGGAAAACCGTCGTCGGGAGAAAGAAAACAAAGAAAAAAATGTAATTTAAACAATTTTTATTAAAATTTTCAAATAAATTAATAATTTTTTTTTTAATTTTTCAGAATTCCGAAAAGAAAAAGAACAATCATTGTAAGTATTTATACGCTTATTTATTTAAACATAAGTATGATATTTACATATATATTTTTATTAATTGCAGATTTCCAAATGCGACGCATCCAAAAACAAAACCTAGAGCTGGAAAAAAAAACCAATAAATTAATTAATTAATTAATTAAAAAAAAATTCATTTTCATATATCATATATTTCATATATCATGTTTATTTTTTAATACATTTTTAATAAAAAAATTTTATTTAAACTTATTTTCATAATTCTATTAAATGATATATTATATACATATATTGTAAGTAATATTAAAAAATGCGCTTAACACTATTTTTAGAAAGCTTATCTGCAAGCACCATCTACCGTTCGTATTCGCTTTATGGAATTTATGTATTTGTTGCAAATTAATTAATTAAACAATAAAAAAAGCGACTATCTATCCTTTTAAAAAACATTAATTAAAAAAAAATATTATTACAAGAATCACAATGCACATAAAAGCCTTTAAAGATAATAAAACAAACTTTCAATTACAAAAAAAATCATAAAAATCGAATTATTCTTCGAACAAGGCAATTCAATCATATATGAAAATTATTATTACCCTTAAAACAGTCATTTGAAAAAAAAAATAAAGATGACAAATGTTAAAAAATATATGACTGAACAATTATTTAATAATATCAATTTAGTATTTAATTCATATCAAAAGAATTTCATCAAAAAATATTGGAATGTTTTTTTTGAGGTTATAATTTTTTGCAATCAAATATCTTACCGTGCAAAACCCCGATCGGGATAACCTATATGTCTATATAAAGACGAAGGAGTTTTCTTTCAATATTTCAAAATTCATAATAATCGTATGCACAGTTTTTTTTATAATGATTTTTAAAAAATTTGCATTTGATCAATAAATAAATTGAGTCATACAGCAACTAATTAGGGTTTAACAGCCAACACCATCTAGTGTTTGTTTTCGTTTTATGTGTGATAAATTTCAGGATTTGAAAATGCTGGACTATTTTCAAGCAATTATTTTTGTTTACGAAAATGAAATAAGCAAAATGCAAATGCAACATTCAGTTTGCGTTTATGTTTCATACTAAGTGTGTGCGAAGGTTGAAGCAATGGTAAGTATTATGAAATTAAATTAATAAAATATATTTAAAAATTTGTAATTTACACAAGTAATAATATTAAAAATAATAATATTATAATAATAATATTAAAAATATAAATATTAAATTTTTAATGCTTTCCTTTCAGAATCAGGATATATTAACTGGCGTATTGATTGGACTGCTGGTTGGCGGTGAAAATGTATGTAAATAATTTAAAATATATATATATTATATTATGATTTATATTAAATGCAATATTAAAATAACATTTTTTGTCTCTTTCTTCAGCAACCCCAGCGTCAACAGCAGCAACGAAACCGCCGACCAGCAGGAAACTACCAGCGGCACCAGGAAAGTGTCCGACGACGGGAAGAAAACCGCCGACGACGCGAAGAAAACCTCCGGCGGCATTAGCATTATTCTGTCTTTTAGGAGGTATTTTTTATTAACTAAATTTATTATTCATCATTATAATATTAAACATCATTATTAAACTTTAAATAGAATGTGAAAAATCTGATGAAGCTCTAAAATGTGGATTGCTGAAGTTTCCGGATGTTCTACATCCGTTACTAGAAGAAATGTCAGTACAAACTGATAAACGTGTGTTGAATAAGTCATACTGTCCGTCAGAAATTTCTGGCTCGTAAGTATTTTTTATTAAATTTATAACTTATTATATTTCACATTAATAACAATTAATTTTTTATACATAGTCAATCTCCAGCCTTACATCAACTGGTTTGCCTTTATGTTTGCCCTGGTTGGAATGTAATGTCAACAGCGTACTTGATCTCATCGAGCGCAACGATG